AGTTTTCTGTAAAATTCTGTGAAATTTTGCTATTAAAATTTAATTTGTAATAAAAATAAATAGAATTTCATGAAATTAAAAAGGTTATTACTATTTAATTTTTAATTTTACATACATATTTTTGTCAATAATACAAAATCTATTATTTGTGTGAGTTTTTAAATTAATTCTAGGAAAAAAATTTCCATTTTTAATTTCCATTAAATTTTGCTATTTTGAAAATTTCAATCCAAGTTCATATTACACATTTTAAAAAATTTCTTAATTAAGTTTAAATACCACAATAATAGATTATTATTACCATTTGGAAACTAAATTGGTTTCATATTTTAAATTAAAATTTTCTCTCTTTTTTTTCAATAACACTGTTTGTCATTAATCAAAATTTTATTCTGACCATTTTACATCTGCGATTGGCAGAGAAAATGTCAGTGTTTTTAAAAGATGAAGAGATGAGGGTAAATAGTAAACTATAGTTTTACAATACGAAAATTTTACGTCTTGGCTTATGAAAATTTTTTATTTATTATAAAATTTTGAAATTTTATTTTTTACATATTTTTTTGTACAGTTTATATCATACATACATTTACATTAATTTTAAAATTTTTTTTTTTTTTTTTTCACTAAAATTGAATTATACAGGGTGTTTCGCATTAGTAATTAATTTTAGGCATGATTCTTTGATCAATTTCCAGCAAAAAATTGCATACGTTTTTTGGAATAAAAGGTACTAGATTGTTCCTGCTTATAAATAAACGCTTATAATATTGGAACAAAGCATCAATCTAGTGTAACCATCCAAGTCTTCATTTCAAGCCATACCTTATGCCACACACTCTGTATAGTGAAATTCGAAAACAAAATGGATTTATAGTAGTAACAAAGTTATTGAACACAAATAAATATTTTAAAAAAATTCTTTCATTCAAAGAAAAACTGATTTGGTTAGTTCATTGAAGTCTTCCCTCCATTCATTATATCAGCAAAATTCAAAAGAATGATGAAAATTTAATTTTTAGGAAATTAACATTTTCAGTGACCTTTATTGATCACTTTACCGAATAGAATAGCTTACATATTTCACATATTTTTAATAACATTAATAAAAAATAAAATTGTATTAAAATTTTTAAAAAAATTAATTGCATTTTCGCAATTTTTTTCATTTTGGATAAAAAATGTGGTTAAAAAGTGACTATTCACTTATTTAATATTTTCATAGGATACAAAGTTTGTGCTCTTTTTCAAATAAATTACATTTTGGTTTTATACAAAATTCATAGTGTTATAAATTCCTATAATTTGACTACAATACATTGTTATATAATTTTATTTTGTTCCAATAAATAATCTTTATTATTTTTGTATTATAATCATTAAATTAAATATTTGTTGGGTAAAGAATGAAAAAAACACAAACACGAGAAAAATAAAAATTGTTATTTTAACAATAATTTGCTTTTGTTTTATTCACTATTTTATTGCAATTCAATTTCAATAAATTAGAAAATGATTGAGAAAACATAAGTTATAACACTAAAACTAATAAAATATAATTAATTAAATATTAAGAAAAAATTTCAAGGACTCGTTCGCACATTATCATACATGAAGTGCGGCAACCTAGTCCCGAATGTTTTGTTAAAATTTATTTTTAAACATTCAGAATTAATATTTTTTTTTCTATTATGTTGCATTAATAAAATTAATTAGAAACATAACTGTTCTAATAATTCTGGAATATTATAATAATTTAGCATATGCATAAGTTTTTTTTAAATAATTCAGATATTATTGCTAATAATTAGCAATACAACGTTTAGTTCCTTATAATTGTTTTTTATTATTGATAAGAATAACTATAATGGAAATTGCATATAAAAATTTTTGGTTCGAGTCCGGTTCGAAGAGAAGAATTACCAGAAAACGGTAGGTATTGGTAAATAGTAATATCATTAGTGTAATAAACACAAAACCTTTTTATATGTTTTTGTAATTGTGTGTTTCAAATAGAAGATTGCATGCAGCATTTTAAGTAAACAATATTTAATAATCATGTAGATTACAGTAGAAAGCAATGTGAAAAAAAATTTCCGGTAATTTCTCATAGCTTAGCTGGTAGAGCTTCTGTCTAGAAAGAAATAGGTCACGGGTTCGAGTCCAGTTCGAGGACTAAAATTTTTTTAACTTTTCTCTTTTGACTCGTTCCTTTGATCTTGTCATCCGTCTGTTCTGCACTTATATGAAGAAATTTCTATTAGTTATTTTTATAAAGATTCTGATATTCTTTTACTTTTACATTCATGTAATTAATATGTAATTTATTTCCTCTACTGTTTTTTAATATTTAACTATTTTGTTAGAAATAGATTGATGATCTGGTATAATTTATTTTATTTTATATTTATTACAACCTTTAATTTTTAATTTAATTATTTTTTTTTTCTATACTTAATTAATTAATTAATTATAAAGAATTTTTGTTTTTCTATAGCATATAAACTATTCCAGCAATAAATTTATTTATACCTTTTATGACGTCATATCCTTTTATGAAGCAAAAATAATATTCATTCTAGTATTTTGACTCTATTGTATAGAAATTGTAACACTCTATTAAATAGAAAATATTTAAATGTACAATTTTGCATAATTTTTTAATGATCAATATTTTTTAAAATCATATATTAAGGTATCAAAGGTTTTCAAATATGCTATTTGACAACCTTTAATTGCCATCGTTTATAAAAATTCGAAAGGAAATTTGACATTAACGTTTCTTGATCTCTTGCATTTCATGAGATGTGACTTTTTAACAATCACAAACCCGAAAATATTTTTATTTTAAAAGAGTATTTAATAACAATTATCAAGTAAATTAGAGAAAAAAGGATTTTTTGCATATCACAGGGTATGACGTCATAAAACCATGAATCAATTTACTTGGACAATTTATATAAAATGCCACAACCCCATTATTATTGTTAAATTAAAAAAAAAGGGGAGGATATAATAAAAAATTAATTATTTGCTTATTTGATTAAAATTATGGGATTTTTGTTTTTAATTTTTTTTTTTGTATTTTATATTATAATTAAATAAATAAATAAAAAGGAAATTGAAGGTGAAAAATATTGTTACCTAATTAGCTATATGTAGAATGTTTTCAAATCAAACAACAATAATTGTATAAAATTCACACCTTGAGAACAATACCATAACATCTTTAAATCTTCGTTTCATAAAGTTGCTCCAACTACGTAATTTGAGAAAACTGTGTACTATTTTAATATGTCGTGGTTTTAAATTAAAATATTAAATTTAACGAGAAACATGGTCTAAAAAAAAGTCCGAAAACTGAATTCAGAAAATTTTGAATAAAAGCGGTAATTTTTGATATATTGTTACGTGATTTGGAGGACGCAATATAGAGAAATATTTTGCGCTTTCAACAACATGGCATCAAAAGATTAACAATTTTGAGATGTTGCAGTATTATTCTGAAGGTGCGATATATATATGTATGTAAATATGCACAAATTTAAAAAAAAATCTCAAAAAATCAAAAAATTAATTAATTGATTGCAATTGATTGTAATTGATTGTTACAAATTATTTTTAATTAAATTACTTTGTTATTTGTTTTGTAATAAATATGAAACATTTTTTTATAAATTTTCATTTATTTTTTTACATATTTTTTACAACTATTTCTATTTTTATTTTATTTTTTAAAAAAAAAATTTTTTCTAGTGAAATTCCAAGATAAATTTTATTTCAAATTTCGTTACTAATTATTGTGATTACTATATACTGTGGCCACTAAAGCAATCATATAAAACCAAGTTGATATTTGCCAAAATAACTTTAAACTATTATAATTTTTCCACTTTAATTTTTTTTATAAGAAATGAAAAAGATAAGCCAAAATTTTCAAGATAAAAAGTATTTCAGGTGTTTTTCAAACACTAAAACTGCTCTTTCGCAAAATGACTTTAGCTGCAATTTATTATTGCTATAAATAAATATATTTTGGTTACGAGTATAATGATAAATTTCATTTTGTTATTCATTTTTATAAATTTCAAATAAAAAATTTTATATTAAATTTTACATAAAAATAAAAGATATCCATGCCGACTTTGAAATGCAAGCCAGCGCTTCGGAATTTCGTTATTCAAGAATCAATAGTTTTGCGATTCATTATATTCAATTTTTTTTCAAAGTTCGTATTTAATATGATACCATATTAGCCTTAATAGTTTCTGAAACAGTAATTCATTTCAAAAGGTATATAGAGTAGCAGCTCAAGCTCAAAATTAAATACATAGTAAATACAAGTTGTGAAAGGGTTTTAAGTCTGCTTAGCGTTTCAAGCGGTAGTGTGTTGAACCGTACATTTAAATTTAAACACTATAGTAAGAATAATATAGTAATAGTAGCCAAATTTATTCATCAAGAATTTTACCTTCCGAAACCAGTGCAATTCATTTAAAACTTCAAGCAGGTTAATTTATTCTCAAATAAAATTTATTAATCATGAAATATAAAGGTTAAAGACTAAATTGTATCGAATTAAAAATTAAATTTTTAATTTTATATTCACAACTATGTTAATAATTTTTTCTTGTTAATATCGGCAATTTGATGTGAACAAAAAAATTATTGAATTTTTCATTTCTATTGTAACTTTTACTGAGAAATTTATTAAAAAAAAAATTCATTTAAATTATTATGACAATTTCGGCTTAATTTTTTCTCTTTAATTAAATATAATATTTTTTATTTATTGCTATTATCTAAAATTTCATTTCATTTCACGATTGACTTTTGCAACTGTTATTATTATTGTTATTGATATTATTAAAACTATTATTACTTTCATTATTGATAATAGTTCGACTATTTTCATCGCTACTAATTGTATTATTTATACTATTATTATTGTTATTATTTGTATTATTACTGTTATGATTATTATTATTATTATTATTGGAATTGCTATTATTATTTGGACTGCTAGATAAACAATTATTTATATGATTATTAAAGTTTAACTTTTGGTTATCAATTTGAAAATTTCGTTCAGTATCAGAAGAATCATTTTCAAAGCTATTATTAGGTATTCTTGAACCACTACATCCACTGCTACTACTACAATTAATACGTTCAATTGATTTTGATGTATTCATTGTTGGATTGTTGCTACTTGTTATTAAATCTAGAGATAATGCTGTTCCAGTATTATTGTCCTTACATTTTTTACTATTAATATGATTTGAATTTAAGTTTGCAGCTCTAGTTCTAGCCCAACTAAATGATGGTATATTATTAATATTTGTTTTATTATTATGATGATGATTACTATTTTCTTTATCACAATTATTTGATTGTAATTTTATACAATTCATTGAATTAGGACCATTATTACTATTAGATGCACCAATACAACTAGAATCTGATGATGGTAATGATAAATTAATTGGTTTATTCGATGATATTGATGTTTTACCATTACCATTATTAATTCTATTATCATGGATATTATTTGGGCAATTATTGGTTCGATTGTTACCAGTTGATGATGATGTTTGATGACTATAACCTGAATCAGATGTAAAACTGGAATCTCTTGAATATAGTTGTTGTTGATGCTGATCTAAATTTTGTGGATGTAAAGGATGATAATAATATTGTTGGTTGTTGAATGTTGGATAATGATTATGATTATTTAATGTTCTATAAGAGCCAGAATTAATTGGAGCTGTTGTTGTATTTGAATAATTTGGCAAAACATAAGATTGATATGGCTGACGTAATATTGTTGAATTTGTAGGTGTATTCGTGGTATTTTTAGTATTGTATAATAGACCTTCATGGAAAACTGGTTCAGCATAACCGTAGTTTGGTTCATCTGCAGATATTGCAGCTATAATTCTTCTTCTATCTAAACTTCTCGGATTCGTTCTAGATTTTTGTAAACTTAAAATATTATTTGGTTGACTTGTATAATAGGGCTGTGGATATCTGGAAGTATAATTAATTCTTTCTGCTCCAGTACCACGAAATATAGTTGCTACAGGCGGTATTACTCCAGGTGTATGATGCAATTGATTAATTCTGTTTCTTCTCTCTACTTCACTGTCCAAAGTATTGTAACAATGTTGGTCGTGTAAATTATTCATACGACTAGAGTTAATAATATTTGAACTATTTATTGTTGGTGGAAAATTATTACCATGATTATAAGCTAATTGCATTAAATTATTTCGACTAGCAACATCATCATAAATTAATTGTGTTGGAGGTATTATAACATCTGACTGAATTTGATTATTTGAACTTTGTTGTCTACAATTTTGTTCAGCTAATGCTAATCTATTTAATTCATCATGATTATGTGGTAATGTTTTATGATTTTGACATCTATTTCGATTATTTTGTTGTACAATATTATTATTTGGATTATTTTTATTACTTCGACCTGTTGTATTCCGAAAAACCCCAGAAAAAATTCCAAGTCTACTTGGTGTACTATTATTGCAATTACTATTTGAATTATTTCCAATATTTGCATTTTTATTGTTTAATCGTTGATTGTAATTGGAAGCCGATGAATTTACTAAAGAATTTCGTTCATTTCCATTAATTTGTTGTTGATTTGTTGAGCTACTGCATTGTTCATGGTATATTGTTGAAACCGGACCGCTATTGATATTTTTATTCTCTGGAGATAATTTATTTAAATTTCGTTCACCAGGTAAGCTAAGCTCATCTTCAGCAAAATCATCATCAGATTGAGCTAATTCTGACTCATTTTCTGATGTTCGAGCAGGGCCTAATTCTTCATAAACATTATCATTTGATCGATATGGATCTGGGCCTGGTGAATTGCAAACTAAATGAGGTGGTGATCTTGTCATAGGATAACCAGATGGATAATGAACTGATTTCGTAAGCATCTAAAATACAAATAAAAATCAAATTAATAGTGTGTTAATCGAATCATTTTGATAAGAGTTTAGTAACTACTTTCTTCAACAATTATACATGAAGGCCTGATTCCTTTGTATTAAATTGAAATTAATACGAAACATGCAGTTAATCTGGACGGGAAGACAATAACATTGGGGTAGTAAATTTGCTAACTTGGAGAATAGCTTCTAACAGTGTCTGTTTTTTGCCGAAACTTTTTGGCGATTATTACATAATATAAAAAAAAATTACAATAATGAAAGCAATCACGTCTTTTAGAATTTGAGCGTCAAAAAATTTTACTTAATTAAATTCTTAATCTGTTTCTGTATGCTCTACAAAACATTTTTTCCTTAAAAATTCGTAATTAAAATCATTCTTTATATACGTCATGCGTACGGAATAAATCCTTCCTCATTGCACATCGTTAACCTTTAGAGATTTAGAAGAGAAAAAATAATACCAAAAAAAAAAACAAACAGCATGGTTTTAACAAAAAAGAAGTTGAATTAACAAAAAAATTCTTTTGATTTTGTATTAAAAAACCGTGCTTTAAAAGCGATATGTACTTTAAGTGAGAAAAATGCAATTGCACACTTAATTTTCTTGTTTGCTCACTTTTATAATAATTTTCTCTATCGTTGACAACAGTTTTTTTTTTTTTTAATTTTAATTCTTTGTTTTATCTTGCTGTTAGAATAATGTGCAAACTTCTATGACAGAATATAAAAATATATAAAACAAAAGGACAACAAAAATTGCAACAGGCATAAAAAAAAAATTCTCTCATGTTTTTGCAGAATACCAATTTTGCCCGACTTTCATTTTAAAAGGAAGAACAAATATTGGAGATTTCTCAATTCAGGTTAGAGGTTTTTACTGAATATGGCAGTTTTTGTATTAGGGTTATCTAGGAAAAATTTGTATCTGAAAGAAATAACTTTAAAGAATATTAAAGTTCTTCCATTTATTTTATTTTATTTAGATTATCTGGAATCTAATGTAAATATCTGTATGATTAAGTGATCTATTGAGACCACTTTGTAGCAAATAAAGTTTGATAGTTTCATAAGGTCGGATTAAATGTCTACTGCGACAAACAGCAAATTCACATAATATGCTCACCATGAAAGTGTCAAATTGGCAGTCTTAATAATGCAACTTGTACGCATATTAGAAGAAAATTGCAAGTATAATATTTTAGTTATCTATAATATAATATAAAATTATATTCATATGTATGTATATACGATAATTATATATTTGCATACGTACATAAATTCAAATTGCATTATAATTCTGTTATGGCAGTAAAAATGCTGAAAATTAGATTATTGTAAAGTTATTTTTTAAGATAACAGATTAAAGTTGACTGACAGTAATTGGGTGCAAAGAAGCATTTAAAGAGAAAGAAAGAAAACAGAAATATAAAATAGAAAAAAAAAATGCTATGAGGAAAATGAAGATGGACAACACATAACAAGATGAATTACGTAATGAAAAATGACAACTACAAAATGAAATTTTCTTAATTTTTTTTTCAATTTTTAAAAAGAAAATTTAAATGCTATTAAATTAAATATATAATTTTTACATAAATATGGTAATTCTTAATCTTACAGAAAACTTTAACGTTTCAGTATAAATTTATTGTATAAATTTATTTTTATTACTCTGAGTACATATTTAAAATTTTAAATCCTTTTGCTTGAAAATTCCTTTTTAACATCGAAAATTTCATTTCGATTTTTCTACATTAAATATAAATTTACAACGTGTAATGAATAAATATTTTATAGTGCCCTTTTTCATGGGTTTCACGTAATTTTCATTAATAAAAATTTTTCTTTTAATATGAGAAAATCTTTAAAGATAGTAATACAAAAACAGTTAGCACCTTACTTTTTGTTTTTAAATATTATTTTAAATAAATGGAAGAAAAATTGGCAGAAGCAATACAATATAATATTAAATACTGATTTGATCGAAAATCCGGTGAGTTGAACCGAAGAGAAGTGAACTGAAGGTGAAATTTACTTTAAATGTAAAAAAAAAAAAACCTCAAAGCGTAAAAAATCTTATGAAATCTTTTTGTGTATTCAATTGAATTTTTCTTTTTTATTATTATTGTGGGAGTTTTGTTTTTTTTTCACTCTACCTTATTATTCGCGCTACTTTAAAACACAATCAAAGCGTTATTGATTTTTGACATCATTATTCATTATTTCTTTTACTTATTTTTCTTTCTTTTTAATGTAATGATTATCATCATTGATACTTATCATCATTTAACATTAATATCAATATCAATATTATTATTGTTTTTGGTGTATGACAGTAAATATCGTGTCAAAATAAACAAATGTTGCGTAAATTGCCACATCAAAATCTGAAAAAAAAAAGAAGCAAGGAATACATAACAAGAGGAAAATAATGAAAACAAAAATATCAAAAAAAAAAAATATTATTTTTAAAGAAAATATTGCGTGATTTTCCCGGAATCATTATTATTTTTCCCTTGAAGTTTAATTCACGAAAAACATATTCAATATATACATGGGATCATAAGAATTGACAATTAAAATCGCGTTTTGCCAAGCAAAGATTTTTATCGACGCAAAAATTTTTCTTAGCAATGATAACTAGCAGTTAAGGATTATTAAAATCCTCGAGTTATTGTCAAAATTTTTCGGATATGAAAACCTTGCTTTCATTATTAAAGGCCATTATTTATCACTTAACTGATTTTTCGGAGAGTAAATACTGTTCAAAGAGAGAGAGAGAGAGAAAGAATTTCTCTTGGCTATACGCTCGGAAAGTGAAATGAGATTTACACTTTTCTAATACATTGACCAGAGTGACATTAACCATACATTGAGCCACACTTTAGTGTGAAAAATAACGTTATTTTAATTGTTATACCCCAAATTTTAATATAAAACGAGTCCAAAATATCTGAGTATGTAGTTTAATTAATTGAGACTATAACATTATTTTTTTGTTTTAAGAATTCTAATAACCGGGAAATGAAATAAAATTTTTGACAAAATGCAAACAAAACTTATATTCATTCAATATTTTTCAATTGAAATTTATTTTATGTTTTCAGTATAACAAATAAAAAATATAAAAATAAGTAAAATAAAATAAAAAAATAATAATGACAAAATGAATCGGGTAATATGATCCCGTCTCAAGGATATAAAAGTAAACCCAAAAAAAGAGAAAAAGAAACAATTTTTTTTTCTCTTTTTAACAAATCGCGTTGAATAAATTCGTGTTCAGTTCGATGACAATACAACCAAAAAGGTTAAAATAAAAGTTAAAATAAAATTTGACAACAATCATTTTTTTTATAAAACAAATATAAAAACAAAACACGTAACACACAAAGCAAAAAGGTATACATACTCGTATGTATATGTATATGAAATGTTCCTTTGAATTATCCTCAAAGAGAAACAAACGTTCTTTATCGACTTCTACCGTATTTCAAATAAGCATTATACACTTTTAGTACAACCGTCTTAAATTTATCAAAAAGACAATATAGCGGGCGTAGAAAATAAAACAAATGAAAAGAGGAGCCTACCACAATTCTCAATTACATATCCAGGATATATGATATTCTTTTTGTTTTTTGTTTTTTTTATTTACGAGTCGTTTCAAACTGTGAAATACTTTAAGAGTATTCATATGTATGCATACACATATAAACTATATGATTCTAATAGTATTTGTTTTGTTTTTTTTTTTGTTTCTTATTATTTCTTGTATATGCAAAGATATCAAGACTGAAACAAAGCATTATCAAACCATAATAAAATGAGCAAAGAAGCTAAAAACAGAGAATAAGTCAGAGGCAAAGAGGGAGAGAGAAGTGTTTTTTACAATATGAAATGTTTCTTTTCTTTTAAAAAGCCTTTTTGTGTAATGTACAAGCTAAAAAAAAAAAAAACAAAAATAAAAATATACCATAAGAGAAAACATATATTTTCAATGTTACATATACTTAGTGTATTGTCATAATATTGGGACATTATGTTGTCAAAATACAACAAAATGAAATTTTCTGTTTAACGATAATGTCCCATTCTATATTCGATTGATTTTAATAACCAGCGATTCTCAAGAAATTTATTGTGCTTTGTTTTTTTTAATTTGTTTTCGTATTTTTTTTTTTTTCTTGGCATGAGAACACATTTTATTGTATAAATTAGAATTTTACTGAGAATTTTAGTTGAAACAAGAAACAACGTTATCATTTAATAAGAGATGGGATTGGTAATGGTAATTATTATTGCTTTGAAGTGTTAGTTGGAGTTCCGTTAAAAATGTACATTTTAATAGAACATGTTGTAGAGTTAATGCCAACATGCAATCAAAAATATTTAAAAAAAAATTTACTCAACTTTTTGAGACAATATGGATAGAAATGCGAACAGAAAGTTTTCTGGAGTAAATAGCTACTTAATTTCAACAGATAAGGCTCATTGTTTGTCTTACATATAATATTTCAATCATAAGATAATAGTAACATTAAAATGTTTTTCAAAAAAATCAATGTGCATTGAGCTCAGCACAAATTTTCAGAATTTATTGCGAAAAATTACTTTTCTGGAAAGCTCAAATTTACAATATTGGTTAAGACGAGTTGTCAAAATTTGAAGTTTCCGTTGTTTTTGTGTCAGTTAGTTAATTTTAAATAAAAATATAAAATATGTTATGTATATTATAAAGCAATTGAAATAATTGAAAAAAAAATATTGCGAGTGTGAGAAACAAGATTATACGCGTTGCATATTAAAAAAATTATTATTACCCAAGTAAGGTATAGGTAAGGTATAGGTAAGGTATAGCTATATATAGTAGACATAAATTAATTGAAAATATTAACAATATCCGGCAGTAATTAATGTGGGTAATTAACTTGATCTCACAACAAAGTGCTTACATTTTTTTTTGATTAATAATATTTTGAGATACACTGAAAAAAATAAATTTTTGTATTATATTACAATAAAATGCATGATTTGTACCTTATTTTATATTATTATTATTGTTTAGATATATCAGGGAATGAAAATCATCCAATATTATTATTATTATTTCAGCTTTTTTTTTATATAACAATTTTATTTTTTATTTATTTGGTTTTCATTCTTCTTTTCCTTTTAAAAAGAAATTGTTTTTTTTGTTCTTTCCTTCTTGTTTTACTTTATATACCTATACCTATAATATTCTATATAAAATGTGAAATAAGGAATAAGACAAAAAAACAAATATGCTTGTCAATTGTACATGAGGACATGAATTTATAATAATGCACAAAAATTTCTTAAGAAATACTTTAATATTATATTACTAACATATTATATGGTAGCAAATTCGGAAATACATTCATATTATAATAGTCGTACGTATAGTTATACTTGTATAGGTAGGTGCTCACAATAATATCAACATACAGTATACAAAAAGACAATAGAAAACACATGTCATTTATACTTTAGGAATAAAATTTGTGCTGGGGATTGGTTTCAGAAAACCAAAGAAAAAGCAAGAAGTTCATGTTTTTCACGGCATGAAACAAAAAAGAAAAAGGAATATTTTTTGATATATTGAAACTTATAAAATGGAAACAAAAAAAAAAAAACAATAAAAAAAAATATATATAATTTTATTAAATATTTGAATTTACAATCCAAAAAAAAACAAAAAAAGATAAGCGTGTAATCAAAAAGGATATTCAATATATTAGAAATACATACACAATAATAACGTAAAACGAAAAGGAATAAAATGAGGAGGTAATCGTATAAATATTGATTTGGCAAAAGGAGAAAACCACAAAACACAAAAATAAACTCAAACAAAAACAAAAAGAGTGAAGTTTATATAACGCCTAAAAAATCCTATTGAAAATTTTTGAAAATCCTTTAACTATTCGGTTACATTTTTATGTTTAACACACCCACATATACACACAAGTAAAAATATTATAAAAAATCATAAAGCGAATGCCAATATAATCTGTATTTTGTTTTATTTTTTTTTTGTGTAATCTTTAAAAAAAAAAAAAGAGAAAATCCCCAAAAATAAAATGTGGCAAATCCTGCTATACTTGCAATACAAAATGAATAGTGTAGTTTTTGTTACTTTTCGAATGTAATAAATTGTTCTCGGTACGGTAGTTACATTTGATTGAAAATCAGATCTTTATGATTTCCTTCCATCTTTATTATATGTTTTAGATCATTATCATGGTTTTTGTTATTATGAAAAAACATATGCGATTGAACAAAATTCCTTTTTTATTTTTGTCATTTTAAAATATTTTTTTGTTTTTTTATGATTTTGATTTTTTGGCTCGTATTTTTATAATTTTTTTTTTCCTTGCAGATTTTTAATAATGTGAAAAACATATTTTTCTTTTTATTTTTATACAATTTTATCTCAATATCACAGATAATTCATAATTATAAATATAAGAGAAAAATTTCAATGATATTATTTACATACAACGTTACATGTGCGGTTTTTATTTTTTTTTATTTACTGTAATAATTAAAGGAAGTTTTAAATATTGTGTATATGGTATTAAAAAATATTAATTAAAATTTGAGAATATTGAGTTAATAAAAAGCATATTGAGCACACGTTACTTTATAATTACACTAGGTCCTCGATTTACGCCCTAGATACATTCCGAAATTTGAGGTCGTAAAACAAAATCGAAAAAATTGCCAGCAGAATTTAATAAAAAATATATATATTTACCCCTTCCATATCACAAATGAAAAAAAAATTAATAATAATTGATCAAAAACTTATAATTTATCGAAATAAGAAAAAAAAATTAGTGGACACAAGTAAGAAAGAACGCTTTTAATTGTTTACCACCTTCTGTTTTCTGGATCAAAATGGAATATTGAGAATGGGTAGCAGATTGCGACATGCAGATTTGAATTTCGACGAAAAATTTCTGATTATATTGCCCGATAGAAGCCCTTTTTTGCTACTACTTTTAGAGGAAATTCATCGCGAAACTTTACATGGTGGTGCTCAATTTATGCTCAACATAATAAATAGAAGGTTTTGGATCACTTTTAGAGGTAAACAAAAAAATATCGTAAAACGAAAAGTTTTTAAAAAAACGCCGTTAATCGGGGCTTGAGTGTATACATAATATAATAATTGTATAGACACTTGCAAACTGCACAGTCTTCCATTTATAATAAATACACCAACATATTTTAATTCCTCACTAAAAATGTGTCTTATATCCGAAATAAAACTATTAATTCCAATCCACATTTATAAAACTGTGTTGCACGTAAGAAATAAAACCCTTTTTCTTTGGTATAATTATTTAATTTTCTTATAGTTTCTAAAATTTTTGGTTTCTGAGTAATAAATAATTTTTGATAGATGATTTCTTAGATCAAGCATTTAGTACTATAATTACGAAAGACGATTCACTCATAACAAACGACAACATTTTACTAAAAGCAAAGCTATTATCATTCTATCGGAATGGATCCACAAGGTGTAGAAAGGGTTAATATTACGGAAACATAAGAGCTATAACAGTTACGGTGGCTAATTTAATTGCACTGCCAGTAGATTTAAAAACAATTTTCAATTCCAATTAATTATTTCAATTCCAGTTTGGTTTATTTTTCAATTGTGACGAGACCATCAAAACATTTTTTGCGAAACAATGGCAATTTTTGTTGCGATAAGTTAACGAACGATTAAAAATCAATATTAAAAATTTTATATAATTTGTTTTTAAGAAATTAAGCAAAATTTACCTCTACATTATGATGATGTCTCATCATTAATGGTCTATGTCCCAATGGGGCATCAGGATCTTCATATGTTACAGAATGTCCTACTGTTACACCACCACCTATATGAGGCCCACGTGTATTTGTTTTACATGGTAAAAAGTTTTGAACTTTTCGTTTATGTCTGAAATAAAAAATCAAATAAATTTTTTTTGTTATTAAATCAAAAATATCTAAAAATTTTTTTTTAAAATTTCAATTTAAAATTAAATCTGATATTTTTTGTTTGATTAAATTAAAAAAAAAATTCTTCACCACAATCTGGAAAATTTAATTTTAATTGGATTTTGGGTTTGAAAATCAGAAAAGAAAATAATTGCATTTTTTCTCTCATATGTACAGACTGTTAAGAGTTCTAAGAATTTCTATGTATACACACAAAAAATTGATATTCGAAAGGCTTATTAAAACATGTTGGATTTATATACATACATATATAAATTTTGATGAAATGCGCTTAAATCAAGAAAATTATTTCATAAATCTACAATTTTTATTTCTCTTCTTCAATATAAAGTTGAACAGAAATTATGATTTTCAGATATCAAACATGTATGCATAGCTATGCCTCAACATAATTTATAACAATATTTTAAATCAATACAGTACAGCATGATTTTGACTAATGAGTTCTGTACATAATAATTTTAAATTCATTAACACTCTCACAAATTCTGCGCGAATTTTTAAAATTGACCAATTCTAAAAAATACTGTTTATTATTAACACTTTTGCGTGGGTTGGTAGAATACAGTAAATGTAATTGTAAGAAAGTTATTTTGAAATTACAACAGCAAATTAGATGTAAAAACAGTTGTCGCATCATGAAATACACTCAATTTGTGAGTTATGAACTGACCGCTTTCTTTTTATATACGGACTAAGTAAAAGTTAGAGAGGCGACAAAATTTAATTTATAAATTAAAAACATAATTTCGGGACATATTAGCAGTTAAGCAATTTGAACGAATGAATTCTTTAACAACCATGGAAAGCGATTTTCATCCGTAATATTTCGTTTCAACAAAAGTCCAGGAAATAATCGTATAAACACTCTGTATTCACAGAAAACATCCTTATATAATCGTATAAACTTCTTAATAGATTCCATTAGGTATTCATAATTACATTCGTATCTATCGATTCACAAATACTGCTATATACTAAAAATAATATTCACTTTATTTCTATTCTTAAGTCATTTTATTATTATTCTCACTCCATTTCCCTAATACTTATTGATTTTTTCGAAGTTATAGCGGATTAAAATCGATTATCACGTAAGTAATCAGACAAGAATTATTTCGAAATACTTTACATTTTGTTGAAACAATGTTATCTTCTTACCCTAATTTCAATTTGAACACTTTTTCTCAACATTTCTATATTTACATACATAATATACATGTAGATATATACATACTTTAAAGATTCTATAAAAATAGATATGCAAATTATGGTGGAGAGCAAGTAAAATGAAATTTAAGAAAAATCATTTGATATTATGTATTAAAATTTTAAAGAAAATAAAAATAATCTCTGATACTCAATGAATCAAATGAATTTCTTCGAGTGAGAACAAATTTAAATTTTCATAGGGTAATTAATACAATGTTCTTGCACGTTGTCAGTGATTGGCCATATAGACTTTAATGTGTGGTAGTTTTTGAAATATTATTAATTCATTGAATTAGAACCCTAGTTTATTTATTACATAAAATTCAATAAAATTTGCAACTTATCACTTTTTTCACTCATCCATTGAGAGAGAAAAAAATTTACCTAATATGACGTAAATTTCAACTGAAATGTGAAATTGCCCGAAAATGTAAGGATAAATCTCTTTATTTTGAAATTTGTGAAAACTATGACTGAATTAAAATTTTCAAATATGGATGAAAAATTTGAAATCAACGCAAAGTCTATTTAAGAATATGAAGCATTTTTATTTTTGACATTTCATCTCTCCCGAACACTCTCACTTTTTAAAGCTTAAAGTTTATTGTTTACTTTCCCATTGCATAAGAATTTAAAAAAAATTAATTAGTTTGAAATTTCAATTCGTAGAATTTCAGAAAGCAAATATTTAATTTTATCTTAAAATTTTTATCTATAAGAATTGCAGAAAGAACTAGGAAAGTTTGCTGAACTCATCAACCTACATTTATATTAAATAAATTTCTCCGTATATAATATAGTGATGAGATAAAAGTGCAAAGTTGTTAAAATTATCAGAAATTCATTTGTTTTACTCCTTTAAAATTTATCCAATTTATTTGAATTACCATCTCCCTTATCCTCTCCGTTTGTATCATAAAATAAAACTTGCTTAAATAAGTTACTATATTGTATAGGGAAAATCTTGTTACTTTGAAAATCCTTGCAACCAATTCAATGAAAGAAGATTTTAAAATAGAATCCTTTACAATCAACTTATTTAACTATTACTTTAGTAAATCATAATATGTACAATACAAGTTTTACTTTTTGTTTTATTGCAACAGTATAGTTATTGGTATCCTTTTTGCTTTGTCAAAGTATAGTAAGACCTATTTTTGCAAATAACAAGGATTTTATTTTTGTAATAATTTTCTACTTCTTTACTATGATTTCCTCGAATTTTGTGAAGATTTAAAGTAATTTAGTTTTTGTTTTTATGTAGTAAACTATTAACATTAGAAATAATGAAAAAATTTGAAGCTTTCGAAAATACATTAACCATTTAGGATTAGTCACAGTTTTGTGTGATTTTTGAAATTAAAATTACTGGTGCACATTTTAGATAGAAGCTGGGGAAGCGGCTGAATGAATTCACACTAAAAATAATGTTAAATTCTTTTATATGTAAAGCATAATTTCGACAAGAAAAGCATCAAATTTAAGAAGTTTTACATACGAATTGAAAAAGGCTCTTATAAAATTTTAGCTTTATCATATTTAAGGTTAACATTTTAGTTCTTCTCGAAATTTGCAGGTGTTAGCTTAAGCTTTTGCAAGATTGAGCAAATATAAATTTCAATATGAGCCAAGTATATTTCAACTATTTTGTCTTCTTTAAAATTTTAATAAGTTCGAACTGAGCGTCTTGTCTATAGTTTCCTTAACGATTTTTTTTTTATTTTTCAAATATAATACAATTTTTAATTCATATCCCCTTTTTCAATGTTATTCTAGCAGACACAATCGTTTTTCTTCGATTATGCACGAAGGCATTTTTAAATATTTATCAAAGTAATAATTAAATGAGAGAAAGTAAATAGAAACTGAGTCAAAGATGGGGTCTAAGTATTTAAAGGAAAAAAAAAATATTGTGTTGCACTTTTTGAAGTTTCACTTTTATACAAACATTTCATCTTTTTATTTCTCTTTGAATGTCGATTGCTTTTTCCCTTCATTTTTTTTTTAACCAGGTGTACGAGTACCATGCATTTTTCTTTTTCTTATTTTAATACATGAAAGCGTATTAAAAGGGACATGTTTTCATTTTATTTTTTTTCTCTTCTTTTTTTCTCCACTGTAAGAAATTATGGGAGAGGTGGAGGGAGTAGAAATTAAGAAAAAGTTGTCGTTTCTCTGACTGAAGGAATTGTTTTGTTTACTCAAGAAATTTTCTTATGCTAACAAAGTAACAAATAAGCCGAAAGCGAGTCCTTAGGTTATTTTCTACTTTTCTTTTGTGTTTCCTTATTATTTTCTTTCTCTATTGTATATAAGCGAATTTAAATTCTGATTTACTTTCCCTTCTTTTATTAATGTGTGTAATAGAAATGTTATAGGATTGACACTTCATTAATAATGCCATGGATAAGCTCAGAATGACATTTTGATAAAATAATTTAAAGAAGAAGTTTCTCTTCTTTAATATTAGGGGAGAATTTACAATAGTTATATTTTGAATTGAAATAACGAGGAGGGAGGAGGGCGGAAGTTGGGCGGCACTACTTACAGATATGAAATTCAGTTGAATGGTGAATTTAGTTGTAATTTGTGATTTTTCAAATTAGAGCATTAATAATTAATTTGTTCTAATTTTGGATTTATATTCAAAATTAATGAAAATGGGAAATAGAAACTTTATTTAAATTAATTGGGATTTTGTGTCAACTTGTAACCAGATTATTGTTTGATTAATATTTTGTTTTTTAGGAATTTAATAAAAAAAAATTTGCAACAATGTTAACAAAATTTGTAAAATTTCAAATATATTTCAATTTATTATATTAATAATGCTTTATTTCAAAATTTTAAGGAAGCCATTGAAGTCACTGAAGAAAATTTATATAAAAAACAGCAACAACTTGTATAATAAAACGTTCAAGAAAGCTTCTACTTCTTAATATTCGATAGGAGTCAAGAATCATCATTTGATTTGAAGAATTTTGAACATATTTGAAATGCGGTAAATTCTCGCACTACCTGAAGAAAACACCTTAACAAATTGTAACGGAACAGAATATAGGACTGAATCGAAATTGGCAGCAGTATAAAATTAATTTTCAATAAAATATTTATATAACCTCACACTATGCTCAAAACTAATAGGCCATAGTTTTGCTAATCTTTTAATTGAAGAATCCTAAATGTAGGCAAGTACAACTATATTTTTATTTGTTTTGATTATTCAATTTATTTTTTAAACGATTTTTTTTTTTTTAGTTTTGTTGTAGCTAGTTCAGATTATAAAAAAGAAAGTAGTACAAAAGTTTAAAAGTTTATAAAATGGTTGAATTTAAGATTCTTAAGCAAAGATTCTTTTATAATCTTTTGATGGAGCATTTTAAGAAATTAAAATGTACAACAGGCACTTTGTGTGTATGTGTGTGTTTTTTTTTTGTTTCTTCCACTTTTTCTTTACACAAAAGTCAAATTTTGATTTTATACTCAAAAAGAAAAACATTTTTTTTGACTCTTTAATACTAAAAAAGTTAGAAGAAAAGAAAATAGTTACGAAAAAGAGAAGGAAAAAAAAAAAAATAGTTGTTAAAGTTACAAAAAATTTAAGTTAACGTTACAGAAAAAAAAAATTGTTTTTCCGTAATAAATACCGTTAGTTTCAAGGACTTACATTAAAAAGTTTACCGTTTTTCACTATAACAAAATGGAAACTATAAAATGAAATAATTG